TTTATTGAAGAATGCTGGCATGATGATCCGGGAAAGCGTCCTAAAATTGACCAAGTTATGCATGAGCTCAGGTGAAATCCTAATACTATTTCATAATCATATTAAATTTGTTAACTAACTGTACTAATCAACTGTACATCTATATACTAGAATGTAAGTATATTGTCTTAAATAATGTCAATGCTTCGCTTGGTCTATTATTAATTAGTATATTCAATTGCTAGGGTGTAAGTATAAATTATCATTAGACTTTAAAATAAGCATTCATTAAGCATTTCATTATATTTTATGTAGACGGTATGTGCTACATTTTTATCAAACGTTTACGTTTATAAAATCAGAAATTTACAACAAAATAATACCTTTGAAATCAATTATACTATGCAAAAATTAACGTGAAAATTGAATATTACTTGATAAAATTAATATAATATATTCTATGAATTGTCAGGAAGACTTATGAAGAAAAGCTAGAACAAATTAAGGCTTTTTATAGCACTTTTTGTTCTCCTAATAAAGTACTAGACTGACCCATTATGCCAATGATATAGAGAAAAAATTGAAGACACTATCGCAGTTACAGCCTAAAATTTTACCTTCGCAGTATTTAGAGAATCATGAAGATATCATTATGAAGGCAGAAGAAATATATGAGTTTACAAAATTAAAAACTTTTACGAAATGCAACTAAAGCGAATTACTGATAGCATCCAAATTGATTATGTTGCTACCACTTTGATTCCTGCAGTGCGTGAAGAACATCTTAAAACATTCAAAAAATACAAAGATAGGAAATGGGAGGAGATTAAATATTCCGAAGCATTCCCTTTATGGAAAGGTGTTACTGATGTAAAGATTGAGCTAGAATTAATTAGCAATAAAGTAGTTGTTTTAAATAATAGTGATATAAAAAATTTAGAAGATTCTCTAAAGCAGCTTACTGATATACCAAAATGGAACGAACGAATACAAAAATTATCTGTACTCGTTGAAATTTTTAAAGTGTCACCTAAAACCGAGGACTGGTTAGGAAGATCTTTGAAAATTTTCAGAGATGACATATTAATTTTAGGGAAGCTTGTTGAATTTGCGAAATATATTAAGAATCATAATCCAGACGATGATGAGAATTATTGGTTATTTATTAAAGAGTTATCGTCTTCTAGTGAACTTTTGGAATTTCTTCAAGACATAGCTGAACATGATATTAAGAGTTTAATCAACTGTGTAGATGCTTATTCTGATGGACAGCTAACTCAAAAAGACACTGTATCATCACTCATTCAGGTTAAACAGTTGGTTGTGCAATTAATGAATAGTTCCAATAAAATTGATGAATTTTTGAAAACTTTGCAAAAAATTTGTCGAGAAAATCCATCTTTACCTATTAAAATCTAAGTATGCACTGGCTTTTATATAGTTTTACAAAACATGTATGTTATTTTCTGTAACACTATCGTATAAGCAATGAAACTTTGCATCTACATACCTAAATATTTATTGTTTTTCATTAGGCTTAGAAACATTTCATATGGAGAAGAAGTGACAAAAGAAAAAATTCAAAATGCAGTATTAAAGGGAATTTATACTTTTGAAAAGGACGACAAGAGCAATAAATTTAATATCACTATAGAGCATCAGACATACTTGCCTGATGAAATGCAACTATATAACATGTCTGACTTACAAAATTTACGTGAACTTGCTCAACTGATCGCAAAACCAACCAATACTAGCACAGATTTGACAAAAGAGAAAAATTCAAGAAAAATAATGAATGAATTTGTATTGCAAGTTGATACAGCGCAAGAAATTCTTAATGTTGGATCTAAACTTATCCAAATGGGGCATTTTGATTATAGACAATTTAAGAAAGAAATTATATGTACAGAAGAAAGATTTGGAACTACAGAAATGAAAGATTTATTGGTAAAGCTTAAAGCGGATTTACAAAACTGGTAATACAATTAAATCTTTATGCAGCCTTTATATGACTATGTTATTGACATTTCTTTGGACTTTAAATTTCGCAGGAAAAAAGTAGTGGATGAAGCACAAGAGCAACATTACTATTTGACATTCTTCCGTGCGTGTCTTATTCTTGCCTTTTATGACTATTTTACATATGTGCAAGATAACGAAAACACAGAGATCTGTAGAACTCTTATAAAGTTTGTTAATAATAAAGCGGAAACAATGATTATTCTCGTATACTAAAAGAAATCGGTGAAAGATTAAATACTATTTTTGGAAAACTATTGAAAACATCACGTGAACTTAGTTAGAGGCGAACGTGTTATTTCTGATGTTGTCGATAGAGGTAAATTATGTGTTGCCTCATGTAACGATAAATTACGTGTACCAAATATTATTATGAGTTTGTATACTAACCATGGGTACATATTTATATATCGTTATTTGAAATTTTAGCTGAAAATTTTATATTCTTACTAATATGAACGTTATACGTAATAAAATAGTTCCTACCCCGAACCATGGCAAATCTTAATTTGTACAAAATCTACAGCTATTGAAGAGCTTAATCTTTTTATCAAACGTTGCTTTTTTGCTGCAAAAAATGGATATGGAGAAAAATTATTCTGTGTTGCAAATTTAGAGTTACTCGAGCTTGAATTGCAATATGGCCTAGTTGAAAGTATTCGATCAATGTGTGATAAACATAATGATTATTTATTAGCATTAATTTGTTGTCGTGAGGGCTCGTTCCATCATCACATATTGGATCAATTTTCACAAGATGTTCATTCAACAAATGGTCTTAACGCTGAAGCTATGAAAAATATTTATTGCGATCTATGCAGTAATATTGTTTGTGTGTCTTCAGATCTATCTGGGCAAGGAAAGACCGAATGGATTAAGCAAGCTAGCTTTGAAAAAAAGAAATTATTGCGTGGTTTTTTAATTAGTGATGGAGCAGATTTTGGAAGTCTGGTTCGTAAATTTAGAGTGTGTAAACTTCAGCCATTTGAAAGCTTACATATAAATATTATATCAGCCTATAATTTCAATGAAATCAATATGTTCTTATTTGAGTTATTGACATTAAAATTTGTTTCTTGCAAAGTTGATATAGCAAGTTTGCCAAACACACCTGTATTTATTGAAATAGCATCAACAATTCTGCAGAAACTGCTTAATTCACTTCCTATAACGGGTTATTTAGTAAAAGAGCATTTATCCTGGAATATTCGTAACCTAAATGTATCCTCTGAGATATGTAGTCCAATTCAAATTGTGTGTAATTATTTATATGCATATGATAAGCAAGAAATTGATGTGATAGATATTGTGCTTCATGGTAAATGCAGCATCAAAAAACCGTTACCAGTTAAAATGTGTCAAGATTTAATAGCTAAATACTTTTTTGAAGGAAACACTGATGGTGTTTCTTCATTCCGATTTGTAGATATATTTGTCAATGTACTAGCAGATCAGCTTAGTCGCCTTTCATCAAGTGCCTATTTCACTGTTGAGAATTTAAAGCTGATGATTAAAGATGAAACTTTACTAAGAACAACATTAGTCAAGACGTTAATTGACGTTTCTAAAGAGTTTGCGACCAGATCATTAAAGACTAAAGAGGCTCAATTAGAATCAACTTCTGATTATTATAAGGCGAAATTCGAAATAATTCAGTGGGATGTATCTAATCATCTTTTGGTCTGTTTCATGACACAAAATCCGGATTCAATTTGTACTTTGTATCGTGAAATAAATAAGGTTCCTGACAATGTTAAAGAATTTCTTAAAAACAAGTGGGAGTATAGTTGTTAGACGAAACCTTTTATGCTTGATGACGAAAGACGAAACCTAAGCCTCAAAATTTTCAAAATGACGAA